GCACCCACGATGGCGATGGCACGGTAGCGGTGGCTAGCTTGGAGGGCCGGACCGGACATCGTTTGCTTTCACCCCCGACACAGCCACGCAAACAGACAATGATGCAGACAACACAACCGCCGACAAATAACAGCACATGGGAGCACGACAACGATGTTACTTGGCACACGGCAGAATTGCGCCTCGGCATCCGCGACAAAATCAAGCGCTCCGAGGCTGAAATCTCGTCACCTCCCTCTCGCCATACACAAAAACACACGTAGCCCTCGACGCAACGTCCTATCTAAGTGTAAACCCAGCTGTTGTAGGCATGTCAAGAAAAAGCTTATCACCTCAGCGGCGACGAGGAAGGTGAGCGCCCCCATTCCGAGAGAGAAGGACCACATGAACAGGCACAGCCCGCTCAGGGTCATCCAGGCCGGGGCCGAAGCCGAGAAGGTGAGGCCTGAAGCAGGACGACCGGGTCACACGAGGAGAGATGGCCCACGATGAGTGGAAAAAAACGATACTCCCGCCGGAGTGACGAGCAAAAATCGTCACAAACGATTTGTTTTGGGTTAGGGTACGCTAGCCTGTGACGACGGGAATCGACCGCGCCAAGTGTTATTATAGATCAGTACGGACAGATGAAGGTACCGGGTAGAGAGTCGGAACGGATATCAAATGAGAAAAAAAAAAAACGACACGATCACAGCACCCGTCGTGTTAACGACAACCAGGACGACGCTGTAGTCGGCAAGAGAGACAGCAGTACAGGCGCCATGAAGTCAACACCGCTGTCCTTGTCCGACGACTCAAACAGACACACGCACAGACACACACACACACACACAGCAGGCGTCTCCATGAATGAGGACGATTCGCCTACGGACCACGCGAGCGGGCAGAGAGAGATACTTCCATAAGGGAGAGGCGGGCTGCTAACTCACCCAAGAAGACCAAGAAGAAGGTGACGAGGGAAGAGCTTGCGATGAACAGAGGCCGCCGCCCGGTCCGGTCCACTAAGAAATACGCAAACACTTCCCCGCCGAGCTTGAACAACCCCACCTGCAAGTTAGTGATTGCACCCGACATATGAAAAAACATACTTCGAATGATTATACTTCTATGCTGAATACCGATAGGTCGGCCCTGCTCACGACAAACAATCAAAATCACCGTCCAGGGCTCAGAACATACGACGTTTTTCCCTTGCAGGTATGCGAAGGAAACTGTTTTCGTCTTCTGGCGGAACAGATGAAGATAACAAAATAACGAAAAGCCTCGCGTTCAGTACCCTCCCGCCCCTACCACGTCGTGTCGACCGATGTCGACCGAACACTGCGTTTGACATGTGCACCACTTGGTGCTGTGCTACATGACGGCGGCATGTGATGATCTCTACACCAGGGAAACTTCTAATTGGGGGCTCCTGCTCTTGGCAGAAAATTGTTGGTTCCGCGCGCGGTATAGGTATCTATGAAACACAAGCCTAATGCATGCAGCCAGAAAGAAAACCGAGCCGGCATCACATCATCGTCAACGACTTTAAGTACGGTTGTTTTTCCGACAGCCACGTTCGACGAGCTGGAGGAGAAAAAAGTTCACAACGAGCGCTAGCAAAACCAAAATGCTTGCGGCCTTGGGGGCCCGTTTTTCGCTTACATACGGTAGAATTGGCATCCTGGCACCCAGCACGCGCAAGTAGTGAGGCCTGCTCAATGACGCCAACATCCCATCAACGAGGTTACCTACACGACGAGCTGCATCGAGAATCCGTGCGTGTTCGATAACCCAGCAAGGACTTACCAGGATGTTTCCTCCCAGCTCAGCCGAGTCCGATTTGAGCCTGCACGCGAATCCAGCCAGCCAATCAGAAATCAGGCCGCAATCGCGCCGTCCCATCCGACCAATCACCGGTCACCACACCCAACCCAAGTGGAAAATGAGGCGACGGCATGTCGATCAAATGGGGGCGGCGGGTAGCGGGGGTGGCATTTAGGTTAGGTTCCAGAGAACGACAGAATTATCTTGAGCCCGAAAGGTGTCGGCTTTACCATCCGGACACACTTCGTGGCACGTGGGAGCAAAACAACAGTAGATGAACAACTAGATCTCACTTTCGAATACGCTAAAGCAGCATTGCCAGTGGCAGCAGCCGTACAGCAACAGCTCCGCTCGATACAACACGTGGTAGCAACACCAACGAGCGCTGCCACAGCAGGGGGCGACACTACAATATCAAATCAGGAAAAAGCAGTGTGACGCCAGTCTGCACTCCAAATAGCCAGAGATCGGTGCGAAGGCGGGAGCGACCACAACACCGTCAACACCAGCAGCGACAGAAGAGAATCGCTACCATCACAACCACCACCACCAACTACAGCAGCAATAAACAACTGACACAACTTCACATAAAAAAAAAACACCACAAACACCAATAAAACAGACGAAACTGCTCAACACTCATATCCATCAAATGATCCTACCCGGCGTCGGAGAGAACAGAGGGCGAGTAGTACACCGCGGCCTCCGATCCGCTAGCCTGTTGGGCGATACCCAGTCCGAGACCCAGGAGCACGGTGGACTTGAGCGCAGGAGATGCGGTGCACACCAGCTCGCTCCACGAACCTTTGGGGGTTGGTTCGCCGGAGATGGTAGTCATCATCGTTGTCGTTGCAGTGGTGTGAGTCGTTGTTGTTGGCGCCCCAAGGTTGTTACGGTCATCGCCAACGCAACCACAACCAAACAATTTGACATGCAAAAAATAGAAACGATTGACACAAGAGGCCGAAGCAAGCAAGTGGGGCCTCGGCATAACGCCTAGAGATCGGCCTAAAACACACGGCTACCAAGCTCCGTGAAATCAGGCAGCCCTCAAGGGCAGGGTGTCAAGACAAGCAAGCACCAAGCACGGAGCGCATCGCGCACAAACGACTGAACGTAAACATCTTGTTCCGTCATTATCATACGGAAACTGATCTCCCCGCCTCGCATAAACGCGTTGCATGTACTCATTCGTACACCACCGGCGAGGAAGCATTCGGGGTGTCTTAGTTTGATGGTATTGTATTGGTTCTGGGCAGCGAATACATACAGTGCCAGATTCCAGCAGCCGCGACCACAAGCAAAGCACCGTCACGGAGGAAAACGCCCGCGTTCCTCTGAAAAAAAAAAAACACGCTTCCGCACTTTTGGCGCTGTCTTCTTCTCCCGCGATCGTCTTCATCTCGGCCAGCTCTCGCTTCGCTACGTCTCCCGTCGGCACAATCTGAGGGTCGGGTCGGTCGTGACGAGCCAAGAGGCAAACCAAGGGGAAGGCGGTCCCTAAAAACAGGGGACACAAATAGCGCTTGGTACGCCAGATAACGCTCACCACACTCTTGTAGACGTAAGTTTGTGCCCTAAGCTATTATATAATAGCCTAGATAGACACCGCTAGTAGTCCATATAGACCCACGTCCGGATCAGCAGAGGTATCGACTTTTGCTTGACAAGGCAAAACAAACAGGCTGGGTTTGTGCAAACAACAAACACTCGTTGGAAGAGCCCCCGGGTTTGTTCCCTACTTTCAGCTCCCTGCTCCTACCCGTCCCCCGCCTCCCTCTTCCTCCTTCTCCACTGGAGTCGCGCGTTCACCCCTCTCTCTGGCTGCCCTCTCCCCCTTCCCCCCCTGTCTTTCCCTCACTGCCTGCTTGGCCGTCAGCCCTGCCTGTATCTTCCTCCCCACCCCTCTCCCTGTGTTCCCGCTCTGTCGTCTCTGCTTCCCTGCTTCTTCGTTTTGTTTTTTCCTCACCGTGCACAGCACCGCAAAGGCTTCGACCTCCCGCCCCTTCCCTAGCAGCCAACGAGGTGACTCTGGCAAGAGACACAAGCTGGAGAGGATGATGAACGGGGGCACGATGGAAATGCCGAGCATTGTCCTCCACTTACCGCCTTACCGTACGTTTACACGTTTACATGCCGGCAGAGTCACGGTTTGGGCGACAGACAGGGAGAGAGAGAGGGGGGGAGAGAGAGAGAGAGAGAGAGAGAGAGAGAGAGAGAGAGAGAGA